ATGTTGCTTGAGAGAACTAGGCTTCTGGTTATTGCAAAAATAACATATGTCATTACCAGCTCTTTAAATAATGCCATTAGACCCAAGGTTTAAACTCATTAGTAAAATAATATTATATTAGCACTAAAGACAAGAGAATTAGCGGCGTTTGTGGCAAAAAAACCACTAAAGACAAGAGAATTAACGACGTTTGTGGCAAAAAAACGCCACTAAAGACATGAGAATTAGCAGTGTTTGTTACTAAAGATGCCACTAAAGACAAGAGAATTAGCGGCATTTGTGGCAAAAAAAATGCCACTAAAGATAAGAGAATTAGCGGCGTTTGTAACAAAAAATTCCACTAAAGACAAGAGGATTAGCGACGTTTGTGACTAAAAACGCCACTAAAGTCAAGAGAATTAGCGGCATTTGTGGATAAAAATGCCACTGTAAATTATAACATATAGCAGCGTTTTAATTAACAAACGTCTCTATATAACTTGACCTTTTAGATTCACGAATGCCGCTACCTTTTTCGGCATTCGTTATAGTGGCATTGTTATTAGCGCCAGTAGTGTTTTTAGCGGCGCTTAAAAATGTCGCTATAGGACTAAAAAGGCCACTAAAACATGTTTTGCCGTAGTTATACCATCATAAATACCTTAATCATCACAAGAAAACATTGAAAAGTGATCAAGAAAATTAGCACATTAAATACCTCCGAAAATTAAGTTTAATTCACAAACTTCTCTTTAAAGGAATTGATTAATTAATATCATCAAACATTAGATCATTAATTGTTGAAGCACCAAAAGGAACCAAGAAAAAGAGAAATACATTGCTGGAATAAATATGAAATGATGAAGAAATCAACAATGGCAACACCAACAAACAACGGGGAAAATGGCAAGAAGAAAGGAAATTTAATCAATATTGATTGAAGAGAGAAAAACAATATCAATGGAATAAGAATCAATCAAAAAATTATTAGGAAATAAGAATTTTGGCCATGAGAGCTTTTTGTGAGAATTTTGGATAGAATTACGATAATTTTTGGATGAGAGAATGAAGAGAACGGTTCATAAAATTTAGGAATAAAAATGAAACGAATTAAGATAATGAATCTAGTTATAAAATTGGGAAAAGGGAAATGATTGATATAATTAAGATTGGAGGAAAAAAACCATCCACATAAGCCTTGGTAAAACTAGTTTCATATATTTTGATTTGTGTTCCTTTTACATTTTAGTCACTAAAATCAATATTTGCAATTTATTCAATTTAGTCACTTTAATAAACGTTTATTTTATTATTACTAAAAATCATAAATAATATTTTGAAAATCATTTAAACACTTAATACTAATATTTTAATTTTAAAACTAAAAATATTATTTTTTTTCAAAAAATTTGAAAATCACCCGACTACCAACCCAAACTATTGACCCGAACTTTGAGACGTTACGAAAGTGATAGAATTATACACTCATATAGTTGTGCTAGTAAAAAAATTTGGTAGATGGAAGCACGTTCAAAGTCTATAGGCTGAAGCATTATTACAACGAACAACCTCGACATATTACTTCCATCGCCTAAGTGAAATCCCATCTTCTTAATTTTCCCTTGCTTTAAATAATTCAATTTTGACATTAGATTATCTTTATATTTATTATTTATTTTCATTTTTTCTGTCCAGAGAATGATGTGACGTAATCTGCTGCATTGCCAATTTTCTAGTGAGTTAATGTTACATAGCAATTATTGGTGTTATGAACAGCTAATTTTGTATTGGTTGTAGCGGTAACGCTAACTGGGCCATAATTCCTTGAAGGTGAAAAGGTAATTGTAAGTTCTCATCCACAGTTTACCCAAACCATCCCAGTCGTATATTCCAAATTCATCCATCCGTCTATTTAAAAACAATGATAAGATTAGCTTTATCCTCTTATTAAATTTTACCTTACATTTAAACACCACCAACCCTATTTACTCCACTTTACCTTTTACTCTTCATATTTCATCTTCTTCAGCTGTTTACCTCAAAGAGCATAAAGTTTTCATTTGTATTTTTTCTTTCCCTTCATTTGAAACCTGTCTTTTTCATCAAAACTTCATTTTCATGGCTCCTAAAAAGAATGTTATCGTTAAGGTTCTTCGTCTGACGCTGACTCCTCCGTCGAGAGCGGCACCTACTCAACCACCGAGTGCATCTAGCACAGAGCTAGTCCAATTTTTCATAGCAGAACATGAGAAAATAGAGAGTTTTGGTTTAGTGCAAGTATTAAACCTATTAACCGTGGAAGACCCCCATGCCTTTGCCTAACTTCAGTGGGAAGAATTTGGCTCCCACCCAAGCAACATTTCCTCAATTAGTATGAGAGTTCTACAATAATCTTAAGAACCATCAGCAATGATTGGTCTATGTTCATGAAAAGATGGTTCACTGGTGGGCCGCACAATTAACAAACTACTGGAATTGCTGAACGAGAATGTGAGCATACTCAATTTACTTTCAATCTCTCTGAGGATGACTAGGAATTAATTTTTGATGAACTTAGCCTTCCTGGAAGCGGTTGGCATAAATAAACCACTGGTTCTTATACTATTCAGCACCGAGAGCTTACCTTGTTGGCTCGGTTATGGTTTACGTTTCTTCGCATCCGTTTGATGCCAACTATGCACTACTCTTTTATTACCAATGAATGTATTTTGTTGTTGTGTTTGATTCTTTCTATTAGATATATTAATGTAGACATGTTTATTTCTGAGGAGTTTCTTGCATGTGCTAAAAAATCTACGGGTTATCTATTTTTTCCATCACTTATCACTCCACTGTGCAAGGAAGAATAAGTGGTTGTCAATGATTCTGAGCATGTACTGGAAAATAAGGGTGCCATAACACCCCGTACGATTAAGATAATGATGTTGCTTGAGGAGTTTTCCTAGGACACAGATGTTGAAGGAAGGAAGCTTCTACTCATGCTAGTGTTGCTGTTGGGATAGTAGGCTTATCCACACAGCGAAAATAAAAATTTGACGATCTTACCAGCTATTCAAGTATAATAAATTAAAATTGGAAGGAAATGATGTGAATATTTACAGCGGGTTCCTTGAAAATCAACAAGGACAACAGCAACTAATGGTGGTGGTGATCAGTTCGAATCATAAGCCTACACGAAACCACGTCTCAGCCTCTACTCGGTTCACCCGATTAAGAGCAATATTTGCTTTTCCCAAAACTGTTTTTAGATAAACGACTGAAGATAATGTAAAAACAGCTGCTAGACCTTACACCTCTTTTTATATCCAAGTTACCCTAACATATTAAGGATTTTATTAGTTCAAATTAATTAAATCTTTATTTAATTAATTCAAATTAAATATTCAGGATAATTAAAACATATGTATATCAAATATAGATATATTAACTCTAGATATATTTTATTAACGTACAACAAATTGTACATATTTGCTCATTTCAATCTTATGGTGTGACCCTATAGGTTCTTGTAACGTTAGCAGTAATTATTACAACGATTCTAATATTACATACAATGAGTGACATCTAGCAATATATCATTTTCACCTAAGTTACAAGAAAATATGATTCGACATATCATCTTCGTGATTAACTCTTTTATGTATTACATCCTTTTGTCCTTTATATCTAGAATAGGCGCAAGTCTTGGAATAATCACACTTGTATAGCCCATGTATTGTTTATTGATATCTATAGTAGACTTTAATTAACGAATAATTTGTGATATCTTATATCAACTTATTCAAGCATGGTCATGCATTTCTAGTAACACTCAATCAAGTGGCCTGTGATATATTTCCTATTATGTACGAATGACAAATCCTATCTTAATCATACACGCCCACTACATATATCGGGATGTATTAAATAACAATCTTTATAGAGCAATCAATTGCGTAACATGTTTAATTGCATCAAAACATACAACAATATATGTTGGGATAGCATTGATATCAAGTCTGAGGATCATACATATAGTCATCACCATGAGCAATGTTATGACTGTCAAATAATAATCCAATACATATGTTCATGGTGGGTCAATCCAATACATTATTCTCTAACAATAAAATTATGTATAATTCTAACATCTCTATGTCAATGACAACTCGTTGTCATCAATCAATAACATGTTAGTCTTAAGCGTATTATTATTGTCCATGCCCATAATAATACTTGACTAGAGATCTTTTAATAATAACAATTATGTTATTATATGGACTTTATTATCTTACAGATTATGTTAAACACATATATATAACTGAAAATAATAACGGCAATGTCTTTATTCAATAAAATAGGTAAATAAAATATATCATTACAATCATCATATGATTAGTCTTTGGGCATACTCTAACAGTTGCCACTGCACCATTGACTAGTCCAGCTTTGCAAGAGTTACAAGACACCTTAGCATTGCTTGCAGCAAAGCAAAAGGGAATTATGTCAATGCTGAGCCAAAACTTACAAAACCAATCAATGCATCAAGCCCAAGTCTCATAATGGGAGAATTCTAGTGATCATGACAAAGATATTAAGGTGTTGTATCAAAAGTTTCCAAAGGTCATTGTTATTTTCCTACATGTCTCAGCCAAGTTTTACAGGATTTAGCCCAGTTACAAATAAGTGATACTGAGAATAGCTCATTCAACACTACGAATACTTCAGAAAACGATGTTGAAGATGATGCTGAAACTATTGTTATTTAGAAGATAAAGAGACCGAGGACACTGCTATTTTGAAAAGAAATGATGATATGAATCTGAGGAACTTAATGTCATGGATATTGATGAAGATGAGAACATCGAGGATGAGGAGGAGAGAAGTTTGGAAAAAGGAGACCAGAGTAAAGACAAGGACTCTCAAGAACTCCTTTACCTAAATGATGATAAAGCTACGCATGATGTTACAGCTGAAAAGGAGCATGATCTAGCTGTTGGCAGAATTATTAGTGCTATTGTTGATAATATTTTCAAAAGAGTTTAAGAAGGCAACCTACAGGAAAGCCTTGTTGAGTTGGTAGGCAGCACTGAGAGACTGCAGGGCGAAACAACGGTGCAAACACCAACGCTCGAGCCCAAGGAGAAAGTTGTTGTTATAGCATCTTTAACTCTAGCGTCTACTGCTGTTGTGGTCATTGCCACCACGTCCCTAGCCAACAAGAAGAGAAAGATGAAGATGAAGGAAAGAATCACTGCCAAGAAAACTCGCCTCGGTTTAATCAGTCCAAGGAAGAGCCCAAGGAAACCTCACTTGAAGGGTATTGTTTCTCCCCATTTAGTTTCATTTAATTTCATTAATTTTTTTTCATGCATTAAGAACAATGAACCACTTAGGTTTGGGGTGTGTTGTCCATTTGTGTTGTTTGCATCATGTTTATTAGTTGTTATAAGATTGGACATATGTGTTGCATTTCATTTATGCATATTGTTGGCATTGTTGTGCAATTTGTTTAGAGTATTTAGAAACTTGCATATATAATGTTGTATATTTAATGTTGTTAGATTTAAGGAGATTTTAGTGGAATTTGTATGATGCCTTATGATGAACAATTGAGTTATGAAATGCTATGGAAATGTTTTGGATAATTATTAGATTTAGGATCCATAGAAACCTTTTTACACTATAGGCGTATGTTCTCAATACTTAGTGATCTTAAAAATTATTGAATTGTAATTCTTACATTCCTTTAGTAAATGTTATAAAAAAACATAGAAATTATTAGCAATAGAAAATGAACATGCCCGAAATTGGCTCTGGTTAAAAAAATGATGATGAAATACATTTTGTTCAAATCTGCTAAAGGCACCGCAAACTGGCTTTAACAACTTATATGGAAAAGAGAAAAATCAAATAAACTGGAGTGACCTGCAAGTAGCTTCAGCATTAGTTTATGTTAAGAGGTTTGCTACAACATTGAAACCCAACAAGTAAGTTAGAATTTTTTTTTCTAATATAGCTAAGTATTGATTGGATAAACCTAAACTGCACACTACTACAAGCTATGGATTTTGATTTTAACGAGTTGGTATGTCCTAATTAGAGATAAGTAAACGCTATCACTTCAGTGACATCAATAAAAAATTCTTAGGGCTAAAAAGAAAATTAGAATTTGAATTAGTTTGATGGTATTATTATGCAACATTATTGTTTAAAGTAGTTGTATTTCATGCATATCGTTGCTTGAAGACAAGCAAACACTTAGGTTGAGGGTGTGATAACTTTCAAAAAGATTTATCATTTAGAATTTTTTTACCTAGGTTGAGCTTGAACTTTAGCATGATTAGGATCATATTAAGGTCATTTTAGCATATTTTTCATTAACTGCATCATGGGAGTGAGTTTTTGGAGTTTGGGCTAATTTTAAGGATGTATGCTGCAAACTAATGCACTGGTGTTGTCGCATTGCTTGAAATTGTAGGTGATGTTGTACATAGATGTTGCATAGAATCGTTGAGCAGATCCTACATCAACTACTGAGTAATCAAGCAGTTATGAATTATTCTGGAATAGGGACAGCCGACACAACAACTGTAAAATAGCTGCAAATTAAGAGAAATTGTGTAAATCTCTTATTGGATAGAGTATTGACTTCTACGACCCATAAATGGGAGATGAAAATAACATTTTGGGAGCTTCTTGATCACTTACACAATTTCCTCCACACTTATCAATTTCAAAGCAGCCATGGCAGCCTATACCCACAGCCGAGGAATGTAGAAGCATCAAGGATCATTGTCATTGTAGCAATGGTGACTGATTGAGGTTCAACCTTATTCTTGTTTTCTTTACTTAAAAAAAGGAAAATAATTTGTTAAGATTGAATGTTTAACTTCTTTGATGTCATTTGGATTTGAACCTAATGTCTTTCATGAAATGCTTTAGCCATTAGTTATTTTATTTTTTTGCTCAACAACAAGAAAAATTTTATTTCAGTTTCGAAGTAGAACAAATCCCCAACTTAGAGGCTCGTTAAAAATCCCCTAATCCTAAATAGGGGAAAAGAGTACTCCAAAGTTGAGGAAACAAGACAAATTACAAATACGACTAACATAGAAATGAAAGTGAAGCACACCTTGAGCGAAATAACTTCACTGCCTTAACAAAACAAGGTACATACTCCATATAGAACTATTCCAAAACCTAATTAAAGAGAACAACCCCAAATACCACCTTGCCAATCAAAAACATTCAACCGAGAATAAGAAAACTGAAAAATTAATTGACTTGCTAACATATCACCAGCTTACCTTGAACATAATTTTCCTGGTCGACCCCAACTTTTCCAAGAAATCAGCCATGTTATTGGTAGTCCTAGGCGAGAACACAAACCTGATCTCAATTATCTTCAGAAAATTAACGTCAATTTCCTGAAACGTAGCTCCCCACCTCCATGGTCGAACAGATGAATTTTGAACCCAATTCAGGACTATTTTAGAATCAGATTCTACAATCAGGACAGACTTTCCACACCAGCAAGATTCAGTGAAAACCTCTAGTGCATTTTTAATTGCTACCAGCTCCTCATAATCAGAGTTAACCTCTGTTACCGGTCCAAAGAACATTGATACTACGTGACCATCTGCAGTCCTCAAAACTCCCCCACAACCTGCTGACTCCTTTGTAGCTGAGCCATCCACGTTGAACTTCATCTGGCCCGATGCAGGCGGCTTCCAAACGGACTTGGGACATAGATATGCAGCAGCCGACTTATCTAGCCAGTCCCACCATTATTTCTCTTCTAAAGCACTAAATTCCTTCAACGCCTTACACCAAGCATACGCTCTCATCTTCACATAAACAAGCAGATCTTTAAGTTTAGTACTTTGATTTCGAAAAACAAAATCATTCCTAGCCAGCCATAGACTCCATAGCGTAGTTGCGAAACTAACAAACCAAGCCAATGCTATAGATCCTGGCCATCTAATCTTATAGCAAAAATCAAAAACTTCGTCCACTGTCTGCATATTTGACCCTGAAATATTCCACCACCTACAGAAAGCATTCCAAAGACATTTCATAAAAATACATGACACAAACAAATGGTTCGCATCCTCCTCAGCGTCACCACACCAAGGGCATAAAATTTGATCATCAGACAGCTTAACCCATCTGATTTTAAGAAATACCTTAATTGGCACTTTATTCAATTTAATCATCCATAAAAAATATTTCACCTTTAGGGGCACTTTTAGACTCCAAATTTTGTCGAAATTGAACGAGCCTACGTCCTCAAAATTTCCATCACTAAGCAATAAGTTAGTCAATTTTTTTACTTTGAACAACCCATCGATTTCATGCACCCATACAATCCTATCGGCCACAGACGGATTTAATATCACCTTGTCCACTTTTCGTTTTATGATTTGCACAGTGAATAACTCCCTATCCAACAGATGTCTCTCGAACAAAGCTGTCGTGACTAAGCTCTGCCAATCGCCTGCATTAATCATTTCACACACCGTAATATATTTCCTTGACACTAACATGTATAATCGCAGATATCTTGATCTTAAAGCAATTTCTCCGTACCACACATCCTCCCAAAACAATGCTGATTTTCTGTCACCCACTATCCATAGAAAAGAATTTCCACACATCCATTCAGTTGATCCTTCACTATATAAATTATTCACGATCCCTCTCCAGGTTATAGAAGCATTTTTTATTTCTCTTTGACTAACCATCCAAGGCAGATCGCCTGAGCCGTATTTGTGACATATTACTGATCTCCATAATGCCCATTTTTCATTAGCGAATCTCCACCCCCATTTAGCTAATAACGCCTTATTTTTTACCTTTAAGTCAATTATTCCAGCCCCACCTTTCTTTTTCGGAGTACACAATCTACCCCAGTTCACTCTTGGCAATCTCTTCGTGTTACCATCATAACCCCACAAAAAACCTCTTCTAATTTTATCTAATTTTGACACTACTACTTTCGGAACGGGGAATATCGACATATAATACAACGGCAGCATTGACAACACTGAATTGATAAGAACCACTCTCCCAGCAAACGATAACAACCTGTTTTTCCAGCCCACCAGTTTGACTTTAAATTTTTCAATAACAGGTTCCCACATCGAAATTCTTCTCGGATCAGCTCCTAATGGAATTCCCAAGTATTTAAATGGCAAGGAGATCACAGTACATCCACACAAAAGTGCAAGCTGAATCAATTTATTTTCTTCAACGTTCACCCCTGCTAAGCACGACTTTCTGAAATTGATACTTAACCCCGAGCCCAATTCGAAGCATTTCAAAATTCTTTTAACATTGGAAAGTCCTCTTTGATCTGGACGAAGGAACAATATCGTGTCATCCGCGAATTGCAAGTGTGAAATGCTTATATTTGGTCAACATTATCAATTCATTCAATGAATCCTTTACGAACAGCTCCTTCTAACAATAGATGGAGAGCCTCTGTTATCATTATAAACAAAAACGGGGACAATGGATCTCCCTGCCTTAAGCCTCTGTAAATTTTAAATTCTTTTTTGGGGGATCCATTTAATAAAACTGAGACTCTAGCAGTCGAAATGCATTCCCAAATCCACCATCTCCATTTACTTCCAAACCCCATATAATGCTGCACAGAATCCAAAAACTCCCAATAGACACAGTCATATGCCTTAGCAAAATCTAATTTCAATATCAAACCACCTCTCCCTCCCCTCTCTATTTTCAATGAATGAATAACTTCATTTGCCACTAAGATGCCATCGAAAATCTGTCGACCAGCTATAAATGCCCATTGAGTCTCACTTATCACCGATCCAATCACTCCTCTTAATCTCCTTGCTAACACTTTAGCAATTATTTTATACAGGCTGCTCACCAACAAGATTGGCCTATACTCAGAAATTTCTGTTGGATTTTCCACTTTCGGAATCAGTTCTAAAAAAGTAGAATTAACACTTTTCCCCAATTTTCAACTCCGATAAAAATTGTCCATTGTCTTCATCAAATCGCCTTTTATCCATTCTCATGACTTCTTGAAAAATTTTATATTAAAGCCATCCGGTCCCGGAGCTTTGACATCCCCACAGCTCCACACTGCATCTTTAACTTCATCAATCGAAAAAAGGCACTTCCAATTCCTCAACATCATCCCTTGAGAGTTGTTTGAACGGAAGATTGATCTCCGTTTTCCACTCCTTCTTCTTCCGTCTAAAGTGATTACTGAAAAAATTAAAAACTTTAGCTCTAAGTTTTTCCGGCTCCAAGTCATTGTCCTCCCCCAAATTAGCTCCCAAAATCAGACGTTTTTTGCTCCGAATCTTTACTGCTCTATGGAAAAAAGCAGAATTTTCATCACCCAATTTCAGCCAGTAACATTGAGTATTCCACTTCTGAAGTGCTCCTTTCACTCTTATTAACTTCACACTAAAATCTTCATCACAAGCTTCTTCATGCTGTAACGTTTTCTTGATGATCTCAGTACAGTTCTCCTGTTTTAACCAACTATTAATCAATTTAAACGGTCTAGGCCCCCAATCAATCATCTCTTTCCCCAATAAAATAGGGATATGATCCGAGACTATTCTTGGTAATCCCAGTAGAGATACGTCATTATTTTCATGGAACTATTCATCTTCAACAAAGATTTTGTCTAGACGACTTTTTCTATTTGCCGGCCCAAACCAGGTAAATTTCCTCCCAATTAAAGGCACATCAAAAAGGTTACAATCTTCTATGAACATATTGAATGCTGCAATCTCTGATTGTCTATAGGAGCAACCACTTCTCTCACTATTATTTAGAATGGCATTAAAATCTCCAGCCATGAACCATCTATTGTTATTTTTCCTCCTAACTTCCACAATCACATTCCATAAAGTAACTTGATCAGAAACTTCACAAGGTGCATAAACGTTCAGAACAGAGCATATCAAATCCTCTGAGGCATACTTCCCTTCTATCAAAATAAATCGGTCTGTAATTAAGCTATCAAGAATCTGAAATATATTCTTATCCTACACAGTCAATAGACCCCTAGACTTACCCATTGCTTTCGAAAATTTAAAATCAAAGTCATCATCACTCCAAAATCTACTTATTTATGCATCCTTAAAATCCTCCTTCTTAGTCTCTTGTAATAACGCAAATTTAATTCTATGGGTCCGAATAAACCTCCTAAGTTCTGAAATTTTCACATTAGAGCCCATACCTCTTGTATTCTGAGACAATATCCGCATATGAACTTCTCCCCCTCGTATTCCAGCTAGAATTCGATGGATTGGGATTGGGTTTCTCCTTCAAAGTCATCCGTAGCTGAAATTTCCCTAACCAAAGCCTCCTCTTACCCTTTAAATTGAATACCCAGCTCTCTGCCAATCTGAAGAGTTTTTTTCGCTTCCTTCTTTTGTCTCTGCCATCGTTCTTGAAGATCCGAATCAGAAAAAGACCTGCCTTCGATTTCAGTCAACTCTTCCTCGCTTAGCACCTTCCTCTGATTTTTCTTAACACGACAACTTCGACTTTTTCTCTGGATATCATCGTATTTTTCTTGTATTCTTTGAAGAGAACTATATTTCTTATTTCTCCCCGCCTTAGTTCCTTCGTTATGCCTGGTTTTGAGCATAAAACTATCCTCACTTAAAATAGATAACTTACACACCCCCTGATCCCGTGGTCGCCCCTCTGCCCCCAACGTGGGCTTGCTCTCTCTAGTTCAACCACAATCACGTCCAATTGGTCTTCTAGTCCTTTGGAAGTTTTTTTTGGTAAAAAGTTTGTAAGGCCCATAAAAATCGTGTCCTTCACCGCTTTTGACCCTAAACCCCCTTCCCATAGAGACAAGTCCTTTCAATTTTCGTTTATTCCCTCATTAGCATCCACCGCTTTAATTAATAACCTACTAACATCTTCTACCACTCCCCCCTCGTGTCCCAACCCTGCCTCAAATTGCTTTTGAATTTTCCCAGAGCTCACGTCATTATCCCTCTACCCAACTATTGCTTCCTCCCCTATGTTTCTATCATCCTCATCCATACCCGACAAATTGCCGCCCCTCGATATGTTCCCCATATAACATAATTGGCTATCGTCTTCCTCTTTCCTCCTCTCTGAATTCTTTTCCCCCGAGGAGTCTAAACACTTGCCGACCGACGAGCTCGATTCACCATCAGCTAAATTAGCTTTAACTTCTCGCTTAGAACTGATGGCTTCACTTCTGGTAGTTGATTGTTCCACAATTCTTATTTTAAAAACATCTCTTCCTGCTTCCAAATCGACCACTTCATCTATCAAATCCTTTCTACTAGTTGCTATCAAGATAGACATCTCCTCACATCCCAGTTCCTGAAGAGCATTTTCACCCATCGCTAAGCATTCTCCCCATTGCTCAGCTATCCTTTTAAATGTGTTATGATTCCAACAATGTAACGGCACACTGATTAACTTAATCCAAGTAACTCTTTCTGCTGCTCTGTAAGATTCTGTCCATGGATGAACTTCCAGGAAAACTTCAAGTAAGAACGACTATTTATGCTCCTTTATGATCCTATACAGCTCATCATCAACAATTTCTATTAAAAAATCTCTACCTCCCAGAAACTTGATCTTAATCTCACCCAAACCTCCTGCGCATAGCCTATCTTCCACCTGAGTCGATGAGCAAACCGTCGCCATTGTTCCTACCAGACATTTCTGAAGTTTTCGAATGACATCTTCATCAATAACCCCCTGTATAGTCCTTCTTCTCCTATATGCTTGCGCCTCAGGATCTTCTCCACTAGAACTTTTAGCTATAGTTACCCTTGTGGTTGTATTTGAAGTTGAAGGACTATTCAGATTCCTACTCTAATTCTTGTCCATGTATCGTGCTTCCTTAACTGATAGTCGATAGTCGAATAACCAAAAACCATTTAGTCTCTGCATTGCTCTGGCTGAATCTTCTCTATTTGAGAATCTAACGAAACCAAATCGCTTCCCCATTCTGTCATTCTTCCTTTCTATTTAAGAGCTAACCACATTTTCATGCCTACCGAATAATTGCCTCAAGCCACTCCAATGGTATCTAGGTGGTATGTTTTGAACAAACAGGGTTTGAATCTCACCTTTCTTTCCTGAATCCTTCACCATCGTTTGAGCTTTCTCCATAGCGCTGAGTTCCCATGATTTTTATTTAAACAATGCATTTATGGTGCTGGATCTTTATTTGATATTTTTAGAAATAAAAATATACTTATGTATGTTTCATTTTTATCATTTTTAAAAATAGAAATTATTGTGGTTGCATGCTACTTTGTTTGAAGCATCGGTTATTATGAAAATGATGTTAGTATAAAGAAATTTGCGCTGCAAATGATTATGATTTGTTAACTATTTGATCAATGGATTTGGTGAAAATTAATTCTAATTGATTGAGTGTCTAATTCTTGAAAAAAAAATTCTTTAATCATTACGTAACTCATAACCTGCATTGCTACACCAATATCATGATAAGAGCTACCAATTGACACAACATTATCTGGTCCATCGGTATGAGTATTCCTTTGGTTTTCATGAGATTCCCTAACCCTACATTTTGATTTCAATAGTTTTGCTATATTTCTGTTACCAATCAATCACAACATTTACTTTTTTATATTCAAAGTTAACAATTTTAATTTGTGATTTCCTACTCTTTGTGGGTTCAACATCCGATGCACTAGTTACATCCTGAGTAAGCATCAAGGTGAGGACATTATTCACCCACAGTAAGATTGATATTAGATTTCACGTTCTTGGGGAAGACGGGGGTGAAATGCTACATCCTATCAAGTATGGTGACATGAGGAGACTCATCATTTTGGTAAGAGTGCTGTTACCCGACTTTCTAGGAAGAAATTACGAGTTACTTGGGGAAACTTTGGATATAGTGAGGGGCTTATAGATTTCCATGAGGCTCTTGTACTTAGTACTTTTGGAGTCCCTCGATGCACTACCAGAGGTGACACATGGCCTAGCAGCATGAACCAGTGTGTTCATAAGGGGATTGTGGCTGGTAATAACATCCGGGCATGGCACCTCTCTTCAACGTAAGTGTCATCAACAACAATATTTTGAATGGGGTTAAACGTCGAGCAAACAACCTTTCTCCCCCTTCCTTTAACAATAATTTGCTTCCTAGAATTACGCCATTGGCATGTTCCAACAATCATCCAAGGCCCATATGGGTTTGAGCAAGGTTGATTTATGGGTACCAAACACTCCACTACCATCGATTCTTTAGGTATTGGCACTTCCAGCTGTGCATCCGAAGGATTCTCAAGACAAATTTCCGACACATTTCCAGACCGACCACATGAAAAGCATACGGTGTTGCAACGATTCGTACTCCACGATTTGGACATGACCATTAATAAGTAGCTTATATACTAATGGCTTTCTAAGGTCAACACTAACAACCATTCTTACAAAGCACTATCTTCTTCCACTTTCATTTTCTTAATCAATCTTTATTACCATCCTATTACACCCCCCAATTTTAGTAATTAGAATAAGCTTGTAGAGAGTAACTAGTAAACCTAGCTGATGAATCCATTCAACTATTTTCTAGGGAAAGGTTGAGAGACAACGAACTTCGAGGTCCAAGGTTCAATTATTAGTTAATGTCAAAATAGTATCTAAGGTCTATAGAAGAGAGCTTTCAAATATTTAGAGCTTGTTCGAAGAGAAACAAGAAAATAATTGTTCTTAGCATCTATGACGCAAATAGTTTGATAAGGCTTCCAGATGTTGTAGATTCTATTCCAAAGCGTCATGTAGCCAATACACCACCCCCAGGAGCTCAACAACAACCGTTCGATCAAACCTCGTTTTCGTTATGACTTGATAAGAGAAAAATCGATAGAAACAAGGCCATCAAAAACCCCAGGAACAATGTCTCCCTTCATGAATTCAATATCATATTCCCCAAAGATGTCTTCTTCATTCATTGGTGGAACGTAACTACCATCCATAAAAGTGTCTATATGAGACCAACGTAAACGGTTCC